TGGTTATTTTTTACATTAGTTGACATTGGAATTGAGACATGAAGTTTAGTCAGGTAGGTAGTACTCACCAAGTAGAATCGTGTGGTAGCATTAATTCCGTGCGGAAACCAATGTAGCTTGAGATACAGGCTCCTAAAGTTATTTAATCGGTGAGTACTACCTACCTGAGTAAACTTCATGTCTCAATTCCAATGTCAACTAAAGTAAAAAATTACCATTTCTGCCTTATAAACGATAAAGTTAAATCGGTGAAAAGAATTTTATTGTTGGAGATTACCTGGGTGCATTTTCAGCCCCCAGTTTATAAACTTTGTTTTTATATATTGATAAATTCATTTACCCCTTAATAAACAAGCTAAAATAAGCTGAAGATACCAAAATGTATTAATGTTGTTAAGGACCATGATTCAAAATAATTTTATAATTTCTCCTTTATTGAACAAGCTGAAAGTTGCAAAATATAGATATTAATGTTCATGTCAGGCATCAGTTTAAAGAATTTTATAGTTGGAAATCACCATAGTGTTGTTTCCAGCCTCAATTTAAAAACGTTTGGAAGTAGTAAAATACATTAAGGTTGTTACAGTGCACTGGTGAAAAGAATTTTATAGCTGGAAATTACTGGAATGAAGTTTCAACCTCCAATCGAACAACGTCGTTTTTATTTCTTGATAAATTAATTTCTCCCTAAAACTAAACTTTACATAGTGCACTTTAAAAAAAAAAAACGAAGAGAAGAAAACAAATAAGTTCCATGAAAAATTTTAATTGCTTTGACAATGTTTTACATGGCATCATCCCAAAAAGCAGAAAACTATTTCTGATGAAAAACTTCTAAAGCTGTTCACAATAATTGTAATCTAGTTAATAATCAACTAGAATTAGTGTCTCATAATTCCCCTTTGATTTTGTGTAAATTGTTATCATGATCCCCCACCCCGTTCTTTGTAATAGTATATATTGTTCAAACACTTTTTTAGTAATCTTTTGTATACTTTAGATAATAATCGTTATGACCGAAATAGTATTGTGGAGGCAAGTAAAATTTTTCGTGAAACTTATTTGTAAGTTATGAATAGAATTTTATGCTTGAATATCATCGGTTTGCAATTTCAACCCCTAATCTAAAAACGTTGGTTTTATTTCCCTATAGGTTTCTCCCTTATCAAACGCACTAAAAGTACTAAAACGTATTAAAGTTATCAGTAAAATTTTATAGTTGGAAATTACCGGGATGCACCTTCAACCCCCAAGTTAAAAACTTCGTTTTTATTTCTTTTAATAATTTAATCACTTATTAAACGAGCTGAATGTACCAAAATATATTAAACTTATTGTGAGACATCAGCAAAACATATTTTATAGTTCGAAATTATGCATGATCTTCAGCCCCTGTCTGATTTAAAAATGCAGTATTTATCTCTTGATAAATGACATGTACCTAAAGTAGTACCCAAATGTAATAAAATAGTCGTTGGTGGACAGATATTATGTGGTTAAAACTTACTAGTGAATATTTTAAACCCTGATATTGAAAGCTAACTCTTCAATAAGAAAGGAATTCAAAACTGCTACTGTAGCCTAGTGCTCCGAATACTTTGCAGTGAAGTGGGTGGCCTATGTAAAGAATGAATAGTTTGCTATTGGTGTTTAAAATCACAGGTATTTTAAATTGAAGTTATCATGGTAACAATGCCTGAAATTACATGATGGCGCTGCAATCTAGATAAAGACCGAAATGTTACACTGCGAGTCGATTTTTTTTTAACAACTAAATTTTTCGATCTCAAGGAAATAATCTATTTATTTTGTACATATGCAGCCAAAAAAAATAATTATGATTTCATAACATTTAACGTTGCTAATGTAGATGAATGTCTTTCACTTGGTTTTTGATATTTATCTAAGCAATGAAATATTTGGTTTTTAAATAATTAATCTATTTAAATGTATTTGATACATAAGGAGTCTATGAAAATAATTATGATTTCATATCACTNTAAGTGAGAATCAACAGAACACAGATTTTTATGCTTCTGCTCTACTTTTGGATAATTTTGGGTTGGATGACTCTTCTAATGATAGTGATGATTCCTTTAAACAAGATTTTCCATTTTTGGAAACACCGGCCGTTATTTCATCAACAGATGAAAAAATTATAGCACAGAGACAGCTTTTGGTATCAACTAAACTGAGTAAAGGAAAACTATCTAAAAAGAAACTATTGGCCAAAATTTCAGTAAAACCAGGTAAAAAAATCACAATTCTTTTATTGGACAAAAAATATCAATTTTTTTTTAATCACTGTAAATAATAGTAAATTAAGTATACCATGTAAGCATGGTTTCAAAAAATTCTTACTAAACAAAATTTGTAAGTTGCAAAAATGTAAACTTGACTGTAAGTAATGCACAAGTATAGCAGAAATTATTATTCTACACCCTATTGTATTTTATTAAACAAGCTTGTTTGCATTTGCAAGACAGTTAGAAAGGTAGCACTTAAAGAAAAGTATTACTATCTTTATAACATCCTATAAAGAATCAATTTTAACAAAAACAAGTATGTTGTAGTATATTAATAATAAAACTGTAAAAAAAAAACGGTCGCGTGAATACGTTCTTTATGAACGCTGCCTTAACAATAAGGGATATATGTATAATATAAATATGTTTGCTTTCTATAAAAAATTGAGCCGTCTTGGGGACCCGTGGGAGATGTGAAACATCAAAAATCGAAACTATTATACAGAAAATATGCATAGAAGGATATGTATGTATGAATGACAACTCACCATTCTATGGAGGCCATACACAGTATAGTCTCCATATTTCATACATACTACACTATGGGTATACGAGCTCAGTGCGAAGGGAAAACGAGAGATGTTTCACGTCAATAAGCTGTAAAGCTTAAAAGGGTCAGTAGAAAAGTCCCAACAATTAATTTACAAATTGATAAAATATTACTATTATAGTAACAAACTGAATCCCAAGGGGTAAAGTCGCAGACGCAGCTAGTCATAAATATAGCTTTCAGGTTCATAATTTTATATTTAACAGAAAATGTTACACTTTGTTTATTATATGTTATCCGTGATTGAATTATTTTAAATTGTAATGCGTTAGTATATCTGAATTTAAAAATTTTTATTTCTTGTTTCAGGTGTTATAAAGCAGTTGAAACGTAATTGTCATCAGTGCAATGTTTGTAAAAAGCAATTTATTAATCTCAAATCATTTCGTAAGCATCTAAGAACACACATAGAAGATAGACCTTATAAATGTAAACTTTGCCCACGGGGTTTTACAGAAGAAAATTATTTAAACAATCACATGAGGACACATATGCCTGATGAACAAAAGCCACATGAATGTGAAATATGTAAAAAAAGATTCATTCATGCCACTCTTCTAAACAAACATATGCTTAAGCATACTGGAGAGAAACCGTTTGTCTGTAAGATTTGTAACAAGGGATGTTATGCTGAAAATAGTCTATTGAAGCATATGAAAATACATGAAAAGAAAGAAGGTGATCCTGCATTACTCAAACATATCTGTGACTACTGTAGAAGTGAGTTTCCTGATGCAACAACTTTAGATGCTCATATTAAACAGCACACTGGAGATCGACCTTTTCTATGTACTGTTTGTGGAAAATGCTTTCCCCAACGTTTCAATTTGGATCTACATTTACGAACTCATACAGGTATGAAGTAAAACACTTTTGATTGCGATTGGTAAAATACACTATCTTCACTTTGTCTTTTATGTTCTGCTTTATTACAAACGCTTATTGTGTGAGGCTCTAGATGAAAATATGTTTGACTGTTTTTACCCACTAGAGACTATTGTTGTTTATAGTTGAAGGTGGGGATGCCATTTTTTACATATTAATTAGTAGTAATAGGATTGACAAATAGCAATACTAAATAAAATGGAAGCGGTGCTGACATAAGAGTGATCAACTTAAGGTCGTCTGTCCTAGGACTGGTTAGACACGCACCTCCACTCTTTCCTATCCTGAGTCAATCTTCGCATTTCCCTAAAACTAGAACATTCCACATCCTTAACTATTTGCGAACAGTAATCTAATGTAGGTCTACCTCTACTCCTTTTAATTTCTGCTTCTGCCTCTAATATGTCTCTGACTGGACCTTCATGCCTGAGAAAGTGTCCTACCAACTTATTTCGCCTAGTTCTTATTGACTTCCATTGACATAGGAGTACAATATGAAAATAATAAACCTATAAAAAATATTAATATGCAGGGGATATAAAAGTAGAGTTAGAGCTATATACAAATAAATTTTGACGCACATAGTCGGCGTTTCAGTGTAAAATAAATTTTAAATTACAAAAAAAAATTAAAACAAAATTATAAGGATTTAAACACAAAAAGAAAATTTCATTGGAACAAAATTATGTAATAGAAAAGTGACGCTTTAGGTTAATTTCAAAAGTTACAATGGATATAGTTTCTCATAAATCGGTAGGTTGGGTGTTAAACGTGCGAATAAGTCTTGGGATCGTGGAGTGGAAGTAAAATGCATAGTTACAAGAAAGTTCAGTTATGTCTTTGGGATTTCTAAAAAATGTAGAAGATTTCTTACATTAAAAAGCAACTAAATATTAGGACAACGAAATTGATGAAGATAAACGTCCACATAAATGAACAATCTGAATGCTTTAAAGAAATTGATTTTTGGAGTAATTGAAGCCATTGAACAACAACTATTTCGTAATTTCGTCTTGCAATTACTGATCGTTAATTTTCGTTATATTATTTATTTTATAAAATTATAAGGATTAAATAATTAATAGTAAAAACAAGTTACATTGTGCAATTAGTACTTGGTTCAGTATTCTGCAATTCTATCAAAACGTCAAAATAGAAATAATCTTTTTTATCTTAAAAAAGAACAAATTTTCATCAAGTTGAAATAAACATTTTTTTAAAAATTGAGTAGCACAAATGATATGTTTAGAAAAGGTTTATTTACTAAGTTAATTTTCATTTCAGGTGAAAGGCCATTCACTTGCGAAATATGTAAAAACGGTTACGTTTCGAAAGCGAGTTTAAAGATTCATTTAAGAACTCACACAAATGAACGACCCTTTGTTTGTGACTTTTGCGGAAAAGCTTTCAGACAGTCGGGGGACTTAACAAGTCATAAAAGATTGCATGGTACTGAAAAACCAATAGAATGTTCGGTTTGTCATAAAAGGTAAATTAATTAAACTCTAAGTTAACTTGGAAGTAGTGCATACATACATATTTTACATAGGTTTTTTATTGTTTTTTAGGTTTACTACAGTAATGAAGTTGAAGTATCATATGCGAAACCATACAGGAGAGAGGCCTTACGTCTGTAGTGTTTGCGGCCGGGGCTTCACCGTTAATACGATTCTTTTAAGACATATGAGAGTTCATTCGGGAGAGCGACCATACGTATGTGTTACATGTGGAAAGGCCTTTTCACAATCTAGTACTTTAAATACTCACATGAAGGTATGATTTTATACTCAGTAGAAACTTAATCTTGTATAAAAATATCTAAAAAAGTTTTCAAAAGTGAGGGTTGTGGCTACCAAAAATCGAAAATGATGAAATTGGTGATTTTTGGAACATTTATCATATTTATGATCGATTACTTATAATTTTTACATTTAACTGTATATGAAGTTATTGACTAAACTTTGCGAATTTTTAGTACAATTTAAAATTCCTATAACGTACAAAGCTTATATAAGTAAATTTTACTTTAAAATTATCTAAAAAATTTTACTTAAAATATATAACATTAATTTAGCGTCTGCTTTACATTTACAAGTGACTTCTTTAGTTCTTTATGTAAGCAACGTTACTGGTAGTATAAATAGAATAGTAGGGAATAGTCAAGAAAAGTCAAGCATATATTAAATAGCTAACTTTAAGGTTTCTTCGTAATATTATTACCTCTCTAATGCGTATACGCCTTAATTATAAGTTTGGAAAATTAATATAACTATTTTGCGGTCTACCTTAACATATGTTTAAATCATGGATTTGTAATTAGAAATGTCTCAATACTTATGTAGGTTCACGCCCCATCTCCTAAATATACTTCTCAAGACAACACCAAACCGCGTTTGACGCAATACGAGGTATCATCAAACGAACAAAAATATACCAGTGTCGTAGATCATCAGGCAGCCGTTTCGGCTCGTCTCATGCAACCGAACGACAATCGAATGTTACAGCATGATGCACAGCAACGCATGCTACAACAGCAGCAACAACAGCAACAAGAAAATAGGATGCTAGCAAGTGACGCTACTAGAATGCTATCGGACACCGTTCATTTGCTCACGGACAATCGAACAGGTTTGATAGATGAGCATTCGGAACGAAGTCTCTTGAGTCACGTGGTTGATCCACCCCGTCTTCTTGTTAATGATACTGCTCGGTTGCTCTCGACAAATGATTCTCGTCTATTACCGAACATTAACGACAATACGCGACTGTTGACGAGCGTAACTGATAATCGACTGCTCGCAAATGATAACACGCGACTGTTAACTAATGAAAACGCTCGCCACTTAGCGGTAATAGAAAACTCGAGACTTCTCACCGATAAATACTTAACGAATTACGATCCATACCACCGGGGTCATCTATAAAACTGCATATCATCTATATGATTTTTTGAATGAATGTGAAAGTATTTTCTAATAAATATGATAATATAGATATTACCACATTAACTTCATTAATATCTTCAATATACAAGAGTATTTTAAATTTTAAGAACCAAAAGGAAGTCTAAAACTGAAAAGTATTTTTAATAATGTGAACAAATTTTATTTACAATTTGTGAGGCATACAGCATTTATTTTTCTGTTCTTTTCTTTTCTACAGTATTTTTCGTAATTCTTTTTAGATTTATTTCAATTTTAAATTCGTAAGTGATTACAAAGTGTAATTGGATAAGGAGGATGTAATAGGTCAAATTACCTCAGTTATTTATGAATAACCGATTGCGAGACAGATCGCACGAATAAAGAAACATCAAAATTCTTATTTTAAATCTAAATTATTTGATGTGAAATCGTAAAAGTACAAGTACAAGTTACGTACGAAAAAAAAAAATAACTTGTGATAATAAAAAAGGCAAGTGTATATTGATTATAAAAATTTATAAAGTAACCGGTCTACTATACTAATCGACTTAATTTGTTCAGGTTTTCGTAATTCTGATTAACATTTATTTTTACTAATTTTTTTTTGTGCCACACCCTTCAATCATTGAACAATCGTTAGACAGTTTCATCCTTTTTTTACTGTCGTTAAACTCTTGGACTAATAGTTTTATAAATAATTGTAATGTAAAAAAGCGAAACATATTTATTAATTATTTTTAAAGTAGTTTTATATTATTTTTCTTAATTTGGATAGTTTTTAAATAAGGAAAGTATCGAATGATCTCATAATATGTGGAGTCATTTGTTGGTATTACGTTCAAAACGACCAACTTTTAGTAAATTATTTTATAGTGCCATTTAAAGTAATTCTATTGGATTATTTATTTTTTGAAATTAGTCTTAATTTTTAATAGTGTAATTTTATCTACTTTTAAAGTAAATTTTATTTATCATAATTATTACTCTTTAATAATTTCAAATGATATTAGAGTAATAATAAAATACTTCATTAAAAATTACAGTGAAAAGATGGTATTTAAATAAGAGAATCTGAAACTAATTAATAATAAATATTAATACAAAATACATCTTAAGAAAACAAATTGAAAACCATTTCAAGTGCCTAAAGTATAATATGTATACGATATCTTTTTAAAGCATAGCATGTTTATTATGATAATGACGTTAATTTACAGTATTTAATAAAAAAATGTAGATATTTAGAAAGTAATTTAGATTTTAAAGAGTATTACAAAAAGATGGTTGGGAATTTTAAGCAGATCAGTATTATTTGGGTATTTAAAAGTACTCTTAATTTTATTTCTGTATGCACAAAATGCTAGGAATATTTT